TTATTTGTGGGAAAAAAATTATTTCGTATAAATGATTGAATCTTTATTGTTTTGAATGATTGATGTTTACTTGAATTATATTCTTTTAAAATTCTCATATATTCTGTTTTAATTGTAAATGCAGTTTCAACTCTAAGAATAAAAGGCCTTTTTTGAGGAGCCTGGAATCACTGTCATGTTCAAAGCCTTTAGGAAAAGGAAGAACAAGAGTTCAAGGAAGAATTAAAGAAGCTCGAAGAAGTTTTGATGGTTCGATTATCTGTGCCCTACTTCCTTCCAAGTTCCAACCATGTACCTTTTCTTTATAGGTTTTAATATAATATACTATTTCATCACAGCCCTCTGTACCCACAAATGGGTCTGGATTCCACCCCTATTCCACACATGATGTGCATGTTTTCAAAAGTTCACAAGGACGGAACATGCAAATTATTAGACATGGATAATTTTCTTTAACTTGTGGGACCTTGAACTGTCAACGGGAAATTTAGCAGGTATGGATATATTTTGCTGCATTATTATAGTATTTTTGACATTCTTCTAATCATGGGATATTATCGTTTTAACTTTTTCTTTAACTTGCAGGATCCTCGAATGTTTCCTGCAATTGTGAGGTAGAATTGCAGTCCAGCACTGCATGTACTATGCCATTGACTACGGGTGCCATGAATTCTACTGCAGCTGGTGGAGGTAGTGAGTTATTTCAGTATTAAGTTTGTTGTGTCTTAAATTTTTTTTTTCTTGGTTACATCATTACTGTCTTGCCATGCACGGAGGAACTACTGCAGCTGTTGTTGGATCCTCTGGTGTCCCACCACCCGGTACTTACCACACAATGAAAAATTTTAACTTTACCTCAATCCCACTTCTACCTAATTTCTTATGGGACATGTCACATGGACGATGCAAGTTTTATGTTTATGTTGGCTTATTGTAGCCGTGGATTATGTTGGTGCTGCTATTCAGAATGATATGAGCTTAATTACATGAACGCTAATTATGTGGTTGTGTTGAATGGGATATTTGAACTTGATGTTAATTATATAAACTACAAGGCACAACCACATAATTAGTGTGGTGGGACCACCAGAGGATCCAGCGGCAGTAGTAATTGGCAGGACAGTCATGATGAGGCTCTGTAGGAGAGACAATGGGATCATATAATACCAAGTTACTAACTCCAGGTATAACAAAAATAATAATAACAATAATAATAAAGACAACATAACTCACTACCTCCATCAGTTGCAGTAGAATTCATGGCACTTGCAGTCAATGGCGTAGTACATGTAGTGCTGGACTGCAATTCTACCACGCCATGCACAGGTTAATAATAATACTTTACGTTTACCTCATCCCAGTTTTTACGTATTTTCTTATGGGACTTGCATGTCACATGGATGATGCACGTTTTATGTTCATGGCGGCTTATTGTAGCTTTGGATTAATTATGTTGGCGCAGCTATTATTTTGAATGATATGAACTTTAATTACATGAACACTAATTAGGTGGTTGTATTGAATGGGATATTTGAACCTGATGTTAATAATATAAACAAGGTACACACCACGCGATGCGCAGGTAGTCAATAATATTATCTTAGAGTATTGTTACTAATAATCTATCCTAATGTAATACACTCTGGAAAATTGAACTCTCTTAAGAAACCAAAAAGCTCCCCATCACATTCTAATAAAAAGTTCTGACAAAACGAGTCACAAATGACGCTCAGGCTTCATTAGTAATTTCAAAAAGTACATTTTTTCATCATTTATTTTCAAAACCACCAAGTTTCCCTTCATACTAAGAAAGTAGAATGTTGGATTACTGTGATTAATTAATTTGAATTCCCAGCGGTAGAATTCTACGAAGAAACTATGCCAGCTTGTTCATTTCCCATTGTCGGAGTGGGAGGAAATTTATTTTAGCTATAAGGGAAGCGTTGTGCAGTCTGATATAGGTAAAAGAGAAATAGTTCAACAATGAAATAGGGAGTCATTAGTTATGGTCAATTGTAATGTTTATTAGATTTTGAGCTCAAAAACAAAATTTCCCAACCCAAACTAAAAGTATGTGCAACTTCTCATGAAAAATATTTCTTGAGAAATAGGAACCCGATCGTAACCAAACAATCGAATAACCAACTCCATATCCCGAAAGGCGTTAATTGTCAGTTGAATCTTGGTTAACTGGTTATCATGACAATGAGTGCTCTTCTCTACGGCATAAAGTTATAAATCATTGTAAAAATTAACCACTATTATTTGAATTAAAAATGTCCTTTGTCTCATGTTCAAAAAAGAAAAAAAATGTCCCTTGTCTTAAATGTTCTCTTAAAAATAGAAGTTGGACAACTAAAATTAGACGGACTTACTGTTTTCAAAATCACAGTGTCTTACTTCTTTTGCTATGAGATATGAGGGTAAAAAAATTTTAAACTAATACTCCATTTACTATGGTTATTAGTTTTTAGTTTTTATAATTATTGTAGATAAAAAAATTAATAAATTTGTGAAAAAAAATATTTATTAATTGAATATGTAATTAAACAGAAAAGTATTTTAAAATTATATAAATTTAATATATTCTCATTGAAAAAAGGCCAAAATAACTTATTTTAAAAGCAATCAAGTAGCAATGTGGACAACATGACTCGATTCTGAATTAATTAGAACCTAGTGTGGCTTTCGGATATTGAGAGATTAGTACAAAAAAAAAATTAAAATGTTCATACTCATTGAAAATTTAGAACAAAACGATCCCTATTTAAAATACTGAAAATGCTATTGTTTATTTTGTTAGTTGATTAAGAGTTGACACTAATGTTTGTTTTTGGTTTGAGGGGTGGGAGAGGAAGATATAAACTTCTTTATTTGGATGATAAAAAATTGGGGGGAAGTGAGGGTTTTTCCTTTCTTTTATTATTATTATTATTATTATTATTTTGCATTTTAATCTAACCAAAAGAGGGAAAAGGACTTTGTTTCCCTTAAATCAAACATGAGGTAAATGTATGGATGATTCTCTTATTTCAAAATTCCTTGGATTGCTTTGTTTTCATTCATTATTTGGGAAATTTAGTAACAAAAGAATGACAAGCTTTATAAGGATTCTTATTTTCAAGATTCTAAATGACTTTCTCTTATTATTTATAAAACAATTGAATTTTTTTGTTTTCAT